AGTCAAATTCCGGTCAATCCCAACAACACGGTTGTCAATTTGTCAACAGTCTCTTTAACTGAGGATGAAATTAAAGTCTTGTCTAAGGGTTTGAATTTTTGCCCTACTCCTAGTAACATAGATAATATGAAACTGGAAGATGACCTCAATAACTTTGCCAGAACCCTCAGAATTAAAGAATACTTTGGTAACAAGGATAATGAGGAAGACTCAGACACGTCGGATTCGGAGGAAGAAATCAGAATTCCGCATTTTCAAAAGAAGAGTTCATGGATTCCTAAACCAAGCAAATCTGCTACACTGGAAGATGTTATCGACAAAATCAAATCCGATGTTGTTCATCTAGCTAGCAACAAGTACTCGTCGTTTTATAACACCTCTTTTGATGAAAAAAAAGCCATACAATCGCCGAGAAACCGAGATGATATTGTGATAAAACCAGCAGACAAGGGAGTGCCGTTGTGATAATGGACAAAGCTAACTATATCGCGGAAGCAGAGCGTCAGCTCTCTGATGAGAGATTTTATAAGAAGCTTGACTATGACCCTACTTCCGAGTTTAGTTCCAAAATTATAACTGCGTTACAAACCATGCACAATGACGGTCACATAGATGAGGATACAATCGGATATTTAAAACCAGAGAACGCTAAGCCTGGTCGATTGTATCTTCTTCCTAAAATACACAAGGTTAACAACCCTGGTAGACCCATTGTATCCGCAAGCGGCCACCCGACTGAGAAAATCTCGGAATTCGTAGACTTTCATTTGAGATCTCATGTAGAAAATCTTCCTTCTCACATTCAAGACACTACAGATTATCTTCGTAAAATGGAATCTATGAACCCTCTTCCTCCGGAAACCCTCCTTGTCACTTTAGATGTCATCTCATTGTATACCAACATACCTCATGATGACGGAATACAATCGTGTAAGGAAATATGGGACTCGCGCAACACTTTAGAACCACCTACCGAATGTTTAGTCCAGCTGCTTACTCTGGTTCTGAAATGCAACAATTTCACCTTTAATGGTGAACATTACCTTCAGATAAACGGGACAGCGATGGGGACGAAAATGGCACCGTCTTACGCCAATATTTTCATGGGCAAATTAGAGAAACAAATTATTTCAACATCTTTATCCAAACCTCTGTCTTGGTTCCGTTTCATCGATGATGTTGACATGAAATGGATTGAATCCCAACAAAAATTGGATGATTTTATCAGACATGCAAACAACGCCCAACAGTCAATTAAATTTGCATATGAAATTTCCGCCTCTAAATTATCTTTTTTAGACACAACTACATATATAAAGGACGGTGTCATATCAACAGACCTCTACTGTAAACCTACAGATAAACATCAGTACCTTTCTCCCCAAAGCTGTCACCCCATGCAAACACTGTACAAAAAGTATCCCGTACAGTCAAGCTCTCAGAGTAAAGCGGATTTGCTCCTCTGAGGAGGCTGTCACTAAACGGTTACAGGAACTTCGCGGATTTTTGACCAAACGAGGTTATAAGAAATGGAACATAGATAAGGGATTTGCGCGTGCTAAGGGGACGACCATTTGATATTCTGGGGCGGGGGGGGGGGGGGGGGGGGGGGGCAGGAGGATTTGTTTTGGATGGGTTATTTATTTCTGTGGACCAAAAGGACAGATTATTTATTTTCTGCACTGTTGAAGCATGATTTTTCATTTTCATTGAAACAAGGGACTGATTATCTATTTTCACAATTAAATTTATAATATTTGAAAACATACAATTTTTAAATTCTTAAATAAATAACATAGTCAATTAAGTCAATCAGAATTAATCATCATCCTCTGGAAGTTAATCTTCTGAATTGCTAACTGCATATATTGCATACGTACAAGGTATTAAAGCTGGGCTGTAACTAGCCTCTTTTAAAAGTTGTCAAACATTTTCGCCGAGCGGAGCGAGGCGAAAAAAAATCAGCGAAGAGTCTGGGGTTCGCTGAAGGCCCCAAGAAGCTATAGAAAAAATGGCGCAAAATCATGCATTATGCGCGTTTTCCAGACCCTTTCTTAATTAATCTGAAACGCAAGTTCTGTTTTTATTTTTTTGGCAATATTCTGGTCTCAAAGCAAAATATATAGATTAAGTGTAAGACTTTTAGTTTTTAGGGACAACATCAAAAGACCAATATGTAGGACAAAGCAAAAAATGTTTCAGATTGCGGAAAACCTTTTATACCTGTCAATTATGTTTTTTGTTTCAAATTAAGTTAAGAGGGGGCTGATTATCATTGATATAACTATGTCAAGTCAGTTTTTATAACACATTTCAATTACAACTTGATGTAGTTCCTAACTGGGATACAATTTAAAGTAGTTTGTAATAGACAAAAGGTCCTTAAATATAATAAAACTCAAGTTTAAAACATAATAACTAAATTACAAATAGAATGCAACACTAAGAGAATAGTCATAAAAGAAGGGCAATCAATGAACAAAAGACGAACCCGGGAACAGATAAAACACAAAACGACAAACATTATAGACAATCAACACTGAAAAATAAAAATAAGTGAGAAACATGGATCTCAAAAAGGGGCTACGTCAGAGGGTGAACAGAACTTGCTTCTTGCAAGACACTTACCATGAAAACAATTTGATAGGAAGACAAGCTTTTGTTTTGAAATTTCCAACATGAGGCATTTGCCTCAATGTAGTTACGGCCCTGTAATAAAAGTGAGGTAAATGTTCACAAGACAATATACCTCAAGTGAAATGAAACCCATTTTCAAACATTTCAAATACATTAATATTTATATTATTAAAAGATTTTCCCGAAAAAAATATGAAAAAAGACGAAGTTTGGAAGAATCTGGTGCCATCTCATACTTCAGAATAGCATTTATAAAATGGCTTAAAAGACCTGCCAAAATATTTCCAATACATTGTAAGTCAGGTTATTTATTTTCAAACTACCACAGAACAAACCATTCATTTTTGTTATTATCAAGGCTGAGTTATTTATTTTCAAAATCCTCCTGCACCCCCCCCCCCCTCCCCCCCCCCCCCAGAATATCAAATGGTCGTCCCCTAACAATAACAGCCGCAATGACCTGTTACAGTACAAACAGAAGAGGCGCAGCAAAATAGTTCCGTTTGTTTTAACATACAATCCCGCCTTTACTAACCTATCACGTTTGATCCGTGCCAATTGGCAAACTATTGCCAAGCACCTTAAATTATCCAAGATCTTTCCCAATCCTCCTGTCTTAGCTTTTCGGAGACCAGCAAGTCTGATAGACTTATTTGTGAGAGCTGACGTCTCCTCTAATAAAAGCTGTTCAACTGCAGGATTGTGCAAGTCGTGTGGTAACAGACGATGTCTGACTTGCCAACAAATACTGAATACTCAAAACATTTACTTGCCACTCCACTGGATCTGTGTACACTATATTTTGTAATGTAACTTGCAAAACCCAGAATGTTGTATACCTTCTTCAGTGTCGATGTGGCATGCAGTATGTTGGCGAGACAGAACAGCCATTCAACAAACGCATGAATGGTCATCGTAGTGACTACACCTGCAAGCCCGACCTCCCCGTAAGTCGTCATTTGAGATCCCCTGGGCACGCCCAAGCTGATCTCAAAAATGTTTGGGCTTGTATTATATTTGCCTTCGGGTTTATATGATCCGTTTATCCTATTTTGACTCTTTCAAAATTCAAGAGTCTATCCTAAATTGAGGTAAATTATATGGCCTTCCAAATACCGTTTCGATTCCTAACATCACATGTCACTATACAAATCCTTGGTGCAAATAAAAAATGATTAAACAGCCATTATTCAATACATCCCTGAAAAACAAAATTCAACTTATATAAACCCGGCCAATGAATGTCGAAAACTTTAGATTGCCATAAATATATGCCGTAATTATTCTATACTTGTTACAATAGCAATTAACAATTAAAAGGAATAGATGAAAAGTTTGCTGGGAACAAGCAGTTGAAGAAAAAATAGAAAGAAATAATATATAAAAAAAATCGTCTATGTAAAGTCTTTAATTAAACATATTTAAAAATTAATTACATCATAAGCAGCAAGCAATCGTGAGTTCGTGTTTTGGAACTAGATGGGTATTATGAACATGATGAATCTAACTTAAGGTTCAAACACTCTAGTGCAATAGATAAACTCATCATATAGATATACCAGGAGTCAGTTTCACCTGAGACTACTAAAACACTGTGTTATAGTAGCCTCAGGTTTCAAAAAACTTGCGACTAAGATTGATCGTAAATATACTGAATTGTTCATGACTTACGATCAATCTTAGTCTTAAGTTTTGTTAGTGAAACCGACTCCAGGATTAAAATGTCAAGTGTACGCAAGACGAGCGTTTCGTCTGCAAAAGACTCATATCAGTGACGCTCGCATCAAAAAAGTTAAAATGGCCAAATAAAGTACAAAGTTGAAGACCATAAGGACTCAAATATAATTTTGGTGGGTGTTTTGAAACTGTTACCGGTAAACCTGAGGTACCTACGGTCAATCGGTGAAGCTGACGTCTTTGAACAATCGACTAGCTATTACTGCATTAACATAACAATTATAAGCATTTTGACATCGGAAATGTACTGGAAAATCACGGATGTGAAAGTCGTCTGTATATCGTCCAGGAGTATCTGTATAGAAACCATCCATGACATACAGACTCATTGGCTGTTAACCAGAAGCAGAGTTCGACTTTTGATTGCCGAGTTTATGAGCTTCGGTCCTTGCTTGGAAGCCTTGCTGTTCACATTGCAGCCTAAAAAAAATCCTCAAGTTATTTTTTTTTTGTGTGACCATAAGTTTCAACAAAATAACATTTTACATTTTAAAAGTATAATAATGTGACATGTGTGATAAGTCTCTAGTTTCAATACTTTATTTGACCTTAGATAAACTATACGGAAAAACGTAAAGTTATAATAACTCCGACACCGGTCTAACATTTACTTTATTAGACAAGAAAAAAATGGCGGATGGCGTGGACATCGATCTTTATGACAATTTAGAAGAAGGATTTGAACAGGTTCTCCCTTTAAATCAATGCAGTTTATTACTAAAACGTGAAACAACTAACTTTATTTACCAGTCAATTTAGCCTCGTCTCAAATCAAAAAGGTTTTGGTCATTTTAGCGGACAACAAAAAAGCTTCCGCCATCTTGATTTATTTTTTAATGAACAGGATACATTTCATCACGTTTTTCAATAAATATTCTATGTGAGTTTTGTAAGACTCGGCAAATATGCCTGAAGTACAAAATTAGTAACCACAATTCATTTCCGCCTTCCTAAATACCAAAGACCATACTGCAATAACTGTATAAACATTTTAAATTTATCTAATTTGTGCATGCATGTATACTTTTGTCTTGTATGTGTATTCATGTCATTTGTGTAGTATATATGACGGTTTTTTCAAGTGCTAGCATGTTTACGTTTGTTATCATATATTAATGCACTGTTTGTTATCATATATTAATGCACCGTTCTTAATAAACCTTTGAAAATCTAAGTCTGAAGCTCCACAAAATAATTTATGACTGAGTGAGTACCGAATTAGGGTCCATTCGCCCCAAAACACATTCGTGCCCATTCATGTTCGCCCCCTTTCACTTTCGCACCCTACACGTTCGCACCCAAAGTCCGTTCGCACCCTACATGTTCGCTCCCTTTTTATTGGTTTTGACAACAGTTTTTTTTTGTGATGAATAAATCTTAATTTATGTCTTAAATTATATTTTGGTTAGTGTATTGATATAAATATTTTTATTTCATACATGTGAACCTCCCGACGGGAGTACAATAATCCCGTTTTCAGGGGTCTCCTCCCGTTGAAGAGAAAAAAATCCTGTGTATGAAATTTCTTGAATGAAAAATTTCTGCCCAACATATCATCTCAGACATCTGTTGTAACTGACATTACCTGAAGTTATATTTTACCTGTAAATCAATTAACATGCATAATTATATGGCTTCACTTGTCAGCTTGGGTGTCAAACATACCGGTAATCAACGATTTTTACCTCAGGATAACTGCCGGTGTGTAATAAAAACTTTGTGTATTTATTGGGTTACTTCCCTTGATTTATCCTGTTTTAAGTTACTTTCCTTTAAATAATGAAAATTTTTAAAAGAATATAAATAAAATATAGATTGAACAAATAATCATAAAAGGATGGTAATTAAATGATTTCAAATGTCAAAGGACAAATAAAAAAATAATAATTTGAAAATTATTTGAGGGTTCTATACTTCCTTTCAAGGCTTAAATTGAAATTTATATAATAACTATGACCCTTGTTGCTAGTTTGAAAGAGTTTCTGAATATTCAAATAAAAACTAATTGCAATTGCAGAAAGTTAAACAAATGTTCTGATTGCAATGATTGGTCTATAGAATAATGATATAAAAGATATGAAGTAAAAAATTTAAGGAACATACTAAAAAAATAGAATGTTACATTGTAGATTGGACATGTAGAATATAAAGATAGAGAAACTTTATAAATACAAGGGTACTATAAACATAATACATTGGATGGAAAATTGAAGAAAACACACTTTAAAAGACAATTTTTACAGCACACGGTTACATTTACGACAAAATTTATGTCGATTAAAAACCTCCTGATCTGAGTCCTAATCTCCTGACCAAAATTTCCAAATCTCCTGATCTGAGTTTCATAGTCCATCACATGTATGTTATTTCAATGTTTCAAAATAAAGTGTGATCAAAGGGGCCAAGCTGTTAAAAACAATTATCTTTCATGTTTTTCATTTAAAATCTTTAATGTTTTACTCATACCAAGCTAAATACATGCAGTATTTACAGCAAAGCAAGTTAAAAACAGAAATCATGATTTTCAAACACACAACAATAATACAAAATTTAGCTGTTTAAATACCAATTAGCAGTAATCATAAATAATTAACATTTAATAATTAATCATCAAATTAATAAAAAAATACGTTTCATATACAGTCAGGGGAGTTACTTGTACAAGTGATTTTTAAAATCACTTATTTGCGTGATTTTTTATTTTTGCATAGAAACATAGCGATCGGTAAGGAGATTGAAAATTTGAATTTCCCGCAATTTGTAGCTCGTTGTAATCTCGCGAGATTTTGCGGAAACCACGTGGTTTTCCAAAGATATGGTGGGAAAATACTGTAAACATTGACAAGATAAGGAGTTTACAAAAATTGATTGAAAATGACTAAAAATAGCCTCGAAATATTAATAGTCTGGGGATTTTATAAGATTTTTGCTGATACTGTGAATATTTTTCCGATAAACTTCAACATTTAAACTACGTTTTGACGTTGAAAAATATACGTACTCTCGATTGAAATGCAAGTACTCGCATGGTCAGAAATTTGGACCTTCTGAAGATTGGAAATCACGCCAATGAGTGATATTTTTTATTCAGGTACAAAAGATCATTTCAGCAAGTGATTTTTTGGAATGTTATTAACTTAAAGGGGATTAACTCCTGACGACTTAAAAAGTTTAAACAATTTCCCCGTGCATGTTTGTCAGAATGTCACAAATTAATTTTGGCACGATAAAATAAATATGAAATCATTGTGCGTTTTCTTTTTTTATTATAATTTCACACTGCAAACAGAAATATTAAATATTTATTTGATAAATACAGACTTAATAAAGCAGATCTTTTTTACCAAACTTCGTAACAACTAACATGCAAAGATAATTTTTTTTTGCCAGAAATGGTAAACAAATAACTTGCATATTTATCTCCAAGTGTATTTTTTATATAGTTTATTACATTTGTACATGCAGTTGTATAAATTGTGCATATCATGTACTATGTGTTTCAGGAAAATAAACAGATAAACAGTTGCATATATAGACTATGTGATTAACCATTACTGCATTAGGCATTAAATGTTCTATCACATTATCATGCATATTTCATATTTGTTGTTTTTATAAGTCCCCTAACTACCGACAAAGTCGAAGGGGACTTTAGGTTTGCACTCCGTCCGTCTGTCTGTCCATCCGTCAGTCTGACAAATCAGTTTTCCACACTTTTTTTCTTCATGTTTGAAGATATTGATTTGATATTTGGTATATAGTTTTATTATGACAAGTTACAGATCAAGTTTTCATATTGTTCCGGTCTGATGATTTTGTGCAGAGTTATGGTCCTTGAACTTAGAAATTTCACTCAAATAATCAGGTTTCCACACTTTTTTTCGGTCAAGCTTGAAGATATTGATTTGATAATTGGTATATAGTTTTATCCTGACAAGTCACAGATAAGTTTGAATTTTGTTCCAATCTGAAGATTTCGTGCAGAGTTATGGTCCTTGGACTTGGAAAATTCACTCAAATAATCAGTTTTCCTCACTTTGTTTCGTCACGCTTGAAGATATTGATTTGATAATTGTTATATAGTTTTATCATGACAAGTTACAGATCAAGTTAGCGTTTTGTTCCAGGACAATGATTTTTTAACGGGTAGGGGACTATATATTGCCATGCAATACTCCCAGAATGCTTGTTGATCTAACAATCTAACATTCAGATTTATGCATGTTACACTACAGCTCGGGTGGATTTTGCTTTGTCCACCGGCCCACCATGGGAGTGGGCACCTGGTGGGCAAAATTTGTACCTTGTCCACTCTGCCCACCTGTAGGAGTGGGCATTCAATTTCTTTTGTTTCATCTAAAGACTTGCAAGTACAATCACTTGAAAAAAGCAGATAAGCATTTGTAATCAATATTTTTACAAAAAAGAGATTATAGCTAGAGTGGGCACGGGTGGACTGCCCACGGTGGGCCGGTGGAAAAAGCAAAATCCACACGGGCTGTTGTGTATATGAAATTATTAAAAATCACTGTGCAGTAAGATCATTTGTACCATCATAGAAATCACTCTGTGCAGTGATTTAAAATCATTTGTACAAGTGATTTATATTATTTAATGTAAATCACTCTGTGCAGTGATTTAAAATCATTTGTACAAGTGATTTACATTGTTATTTATCCTGGTCTTATGGGTTTTTTGTTGAGCCTGCGACTTTTGTCGCAGAAAGCTCGACATAGGGATAGTGATCAGGCGGTGGCGTTAGCTAACTTCTTAAAAGCTTTATACATGTATTTTAGAAACTGGAAGACCTGGATACTTCATACTTTGTATATAGATGCCTTATGTTACGATGTTTCCATCTGTCACATGTCCATTGTCCTTGACCTCATTTTCATGGTTCAGTGACTACTTGAAAAAAAGTAAAGATTTTTTGTGAAGTTAATTTCTCTCTTATTATGAGTAATAGAATAACTATATTTGGTATGTGCGTAGCTTGCAAGGTCCTCATGCCTGTCAGACAGTTTTCACTTGACCTCAACCTCATTTCATGGATCAGTGAACAAGGTTAAGTTTTGGTGGTCAAGTCTATATCTCGGATACTATAAGCAATAGGGCTAGTATATTCGGTTTATGGAAGGACTGTAAGGTGTACATGTCCAACTGGCAGATGCCATCTGACCTTGACCTCATTTTCACGGTTCATTACTTAGTATTAAGTTTTTGTGTTTTGGTCTATTTTTCTTAAACTATAAGCAATAGGTCGACTATACTTGTTGTATGGAAGAATTGTAAGCTGTACCTGTCTGCCTGGCATGGTTCATATCATACAACTAATGTTCTCCAGCTGAGCCTAGCAATATTCAAGGTAATTTATACACTGTCCAACATTGCCCTTAAAATCTGGGTTATAACGCTAAAGTGCCCTTTCAGACAACTAGCACCCTTCTGCCCTGAGATTCAAGCTAGAACACTGTTATGACATTGACCTCATTTTCATGGTTCATTGGTCAATGTTTAGTTTTCTTGATTAAGTGTGTTTCTTAGAAACTATAAGCAATAGGTCAACTATATTTAGTGTATTGAATGATTGTAAGGTGTAAATGTATTTCTTGTTTGGTTTATATGACCTTGACCTCATTTTATTGGATCATGTTAAGTTTATGTGATAGTTGTAGTTAAACTTTATA